TAACTTTTTTTTTCATGATCATTGTCATTGCCATTATCATTACAATCTATTATTAATTTTATATACTGAGCAATCAACCTTTATTTTATTGGATACCTTTTAAAGCCCTCGGCTAAACTCTATAGTAATACAACATTCATTCATACTTTGCCCCGTGACTCGAACCCGGATTATGATTATTCATTAGCCTTTACACACATATGTAGATATATACAGATATTGCTCGAATAATTAATTCATGTCGAGTTGCTGATCTCTTATTTGTAATTTACTTTTAACTGAACTGAGCAAAAAGCAAAAAAGCTTTACCTTATGCTGCTACTCGATTATATGTGGCTATAATGGCTGCAGGTGTAAGTATTACAGTTTTTCTTTGATATACCGAAGGCTGTGTGGTTTTTTTTCCTGTTATGGGTCAATCGAATTGGATTCTTTTGTATTGTGTGGAATTCGGATTTGGTTTCGAATCTGTTGCAGCGTCGCTAGGCAACCTTGAATAGAGCTACGATTGTTGTTGGCAACACCCAGGTAATCGTTCATTTTATGATTATGTAAATTACCACCATGAAAATTACCTTTAACAGCTGCTCTATCACGCTAGTTAAAGACACACAGATATACCGATATACATATATACGTATAGAACGGCTAAAAGTTTATATCACAGTAGTATTGGTTCTTGTATATTTCTTAATCTCAGCTGGGCATAAAAAAAGAGAAATCAATCTGAACGTGGGCGATTGGTAAGGTGATACCTTGTAGGTGGCATTGTAGGTTTTATAGACTACAGTTAAAGCTTCTAGTTATACCAACATAATCATCATCTCAAAATTAGACTACATAAATACAAATTTAATCAATGGGGCTGCTTGAAAATCGAACTGTTATACAAGAGTTCACAGCTCTATGGTTAAATGTAATTAATAAGTAAAATGTTTCACACTTTACTGATAACTTTTCCTTTTCTTTTTTTTTTCAGTATTTAATTACACGTCATTAATACACTTCACCTGTCTTCTTGTAGGCTCTGGCCCGTGGCAAAAACACAGAGCTGTATAACAGTTATATGCATTTTCCAGCCAGCTAACTGTATTTCATTTTTCGACTAGCTCTCCACGAGACCACAACTTTAAATTTACGAGTATTTGCTGAGGTTAGTAAGTCCATAAATATGTTAATATGTTTGCTTCTGTAACATTTCACTTTGCAGCTGGGAGAGTGGTGCAAAAGCATTTGCAAAAAAGCGAAATGAAAAACAAAACAAAAAAAATCAACTACAAACAAACATGCAAGCATATGTTTATAAGCATATATGTATGCATGTGTGGGTATGTGTGTAAGGGCATAATGATCAAAAGCACAGCCAAGTGACCGCTCGTCGCCATATTGTTGTTGGTGGCATTAACAAACTCTATTTATGCATTTGTATTATACTGGCAAACTGCCTGAAATTGATTAACGTTTTGCTATTGCAGCTGGCTGCTTTAGAGCTGCTAGTTGTCATCAGGTGGGCAACAAAATAGCGCAGCGCCGTGCAGAAACGGCTATAGAAACAAGCTGACAGCGTTTGCCTGTGTGTGTGTGTCTGTTTACACATGTATGCATACATACATACATGAGTAAGCTTGCGCGAGTGCACGCGTTGGCAATCAGATTTAGTCACTCGCGCCATTGCGGCTGGAACTGATTTTGCTTCACTTTCACAATGAGACCGAAAACTCAACTGTTGGATAATTAGCGACACTAAAACAGCGTGTGCGCTCAGGCAATGGAGCAATAAATTAATTAGCTCAACACCGACTTCGTGCAATTACACAAAATGACAGCAAAATCTATGCTAGCCAACAACTATGGAAGTGCTTTGAAACTGGAAGGCAACTTATGGGAAATCGCAAAAGAGCAGCCAGATTCCAGATTGACTCCTTTTCTTAGACTCAAAATTAGCCTTAGAATATACATACATACTTATACGAATGTATTAGTGCGTGTATGCACAAGACTGCTTAACCATGTGTGTGTGTAAATTTGTATATGCAAGAGAAACTTGCAATTTCGTTGACAAAAGACAAGAGAGAGCGTGTACAAATCTAACGGGATCTGCTTAAAAGAGACATGCAAGCAAATTGAGTGTAGTTGTGAGTGACACAAAAATTGCATTTAGTATTTCAAGTGTGGACAGAGCAATTATAAAAAAAAATCAACAAAAATACGAATTAAAATAATTGAAGATTTAAAGCAAATATACTCGTTTTAAAATATATATACAGCAATTTTTAATAAGCTTTTTGAGCTCTAATGTGATTAGATAAAAACAATAATTTATTTTGCTAAGCGTTGTCTCATTACCTTTTGACTTTTGCATTGAGTTAAAACTCACATTTAATTTTCATTTTCATATGCAGC